GGAGCCTGAAAATACCACTAGGTTATTACATAGCTTATTAGGTTATTAACTCAAATTATTAACTTAAATTATTAACTCAAATTCTTAACTTAAATAATAGGCACTGTCCAAACAGAGACTTTCAGTGTCATCAAAAATGCTCAAGGAAAAAAAGAAAAAGAAGAAGAAGAAATTAGACAGCTGCCATTCCATGACCAAAAACTGCGTTCAGAACTTGGTATCTTGGTATTTTCTCATAGTAAATTGTTGGAAGGTAACTGTGCCAGGACCAATAAACTTGCAAAAGTAGCTGTATATTAAGCATACAAAAATAATTTTTCAGGAATTGTTTCAAGTCATATTCCCTTTAAGACAAATGAAGTGGATATCCCATATCTTTTCTACCTGCAACTGTTCCTATCACTCTAAATTTCACAATTGAATTATATCTGTCACAATGGGTGTTATAATTAAAAGTACTACATTCTTAGCCAAAATATAGGTGCAACTATACCTAAATATAGAAGTCCATATTTCAGTAATGTAGATTTTTCAAAAAAATAATTAGGAAATTTTAAAGTAGTCTTTCTTTTTCAAATTCTGGAACCATAGAATCCAAGACAGTTAGATAATTTTTAATTGTCTGTACAATTGCTCTAAAAAATATGCATTCTTGAAACAGTAATATTATTCTTAAAGGTATTCAAATATATAGAAAATAAACCTCAAGAAAATTCTCTTTCAGGGAGCTCACCACACATTCTGATAATATGCTGAACTGAGAAAATTAAGATATTTCTTATAATACATTGTCTTAATCTGGCAATAGGTGTAAACTGTTGTGTCATCCAAACTAATCTATATTTATGTGTACTTTGTAGGTTCATGATACCTAGTTGATGATTTGTGTTTCAGAGGCAGTACATTAGAAACAATCAACTGATACATTATGACTTGGAAAAAAAATCATGCTTTTAGTAAATCTGCCTCTGCAAACAACAACAACAGAAAAATTCTGGTTGTCTGTCCCTAGTGTAGATATGAATAGGTGAAGAAGCAGATGTTTCACCAAATTATAATGATTTTATAAGAACAGAGGGTGAAATGTTGCATATCAGAGCTCAGTGTGTGTGCACAGTGTAGGATACCTACACAATAGAAGCTTCCTAAATTTAAGTAGCTACAACCATAAAATAAATCCTATGGGGAACTTAAAATATCTTTTTTCACACAATTTTTCATATCCCCACTTGTACAGAAAAGTAAGATATGAGGGAGAGATTATTATGTTCTGGGAAAGTGCTCTTTTATTTTTAGTATGTTCAGAGTCCAGCATATATCAGGAGGTGCTGCTTTTTTAACCCATGATGTTCTGCACTATTGTAATCTTCTGGATCAATAAGTTTTCTGAAAGTCAGGAGACACCTTCATTTTGTGAAGGCTGGTTTCCTTTGCCCCATGCCATCATCAGAAGATAGCACTCTTGGCACATTGCATTTACACTGTTGGAGTTCTAATTCTGTTTATTATAGTGCTGTAGCTTTTCCAAAACTGAATGATTCCTGCCTCACTTTTCCTCTCTTGTTAAAAGGAGCAGTTGATAGTTATATATAGGTACATGGTGATCACAAAAAGTGAAGAGAACTTTGTAAGGAAATTTTGCTTGTTGCAGCTTGTAAACTAGATTTTATACACTGTAGTTCTAGGGATGACATTAATGTGTTGTTTAAAAAGCTGCTGTCAGGCCAATGCACATGCATTTTCCATAATGTATACGTGCTCATGTGTGATATTTAGACTGCTCTATAGCTGCAAATGTGCCTGGAAAAATGGCTTTGATTAATTGACTTCCCTCCTCTTCTTTCCTCTCTTCACATGCAAAGGCTCCATTCATTATCAGGAAAGATCAGAGGAGGAGGGGAGCAGAGTACCTAGGTCACACGCTGTTAGAGTTACAATTTTCCAAACGCCATAAGTAAACGGTAGGGAACAGGAAATATCCAGGATGGGAGAGGACCTCTGTGTTTGAAGGTCTTCCTTCATTCCAAATATTTGGTCTGGTTTTATCTTCAGCTGAGCAAATTTGCATTTCTCCATTGTATATACATGTAATACTTGTTACATCTTCAACCCTTGTCTTTTTCATGTGTCACATTTTCAGCCCCTCAGGTATGAGAAACCTTGAGGATTGATTGAGGGATATTCCTTCCACCGTTCCTTGTCCAGTTCTTCTTCCTTAGGACATTACTAGAAATTATATATGCTTATATAATACTAAATTCAAAACTCATACTACACTACATCAATGACATTCATTTCTGTTTATTTATACTTATATGAATGGTTCTCTCCTTTTAATGTGTGCTGATTTTGGCTGGGATAGAGTTAATTTTCTTCATAGTAGGTAGCATGGGGCCCTATTACAGATTTGTGTTGATAAAACAGGGATGATTCAGTCACTGCTGAGCAGTGCTTTCACAAAGCCAAGGTTTTTCTGCTCCTTGTGCCGTGCCACCGGCAAACAGGCTGGGAGTGCACAAAGATTTGGATACAGACGCAGCTGACACCTAACCCTGAGTGACCAAAGGGGTGTTCCATACCATATTACATCATACCCAGTACCTAAATTTGGGGGAAGAAGGAGGAAAAGGGGAATGTTTGGAGTAACATCATTTGTATTCCCAAGTCACCATTATGTGTGATGAAACCCTGTTTCCTGAGGATGGCTGAACACCTGCCTGCCCATGGGAAGTGGTGCTTCCCATGTGGTGCTTCATTTTGCTTTCCGTGTGTGCACAGATTTTGCTTATCTTAACCCACAAATTTTCTTGCTTTTACCCTTCTGATTCTTTTCCCCATCCCACTGAGTGGGGAGTAAGTGAGAGGCTGTATGTGGTGCTTAGTTTCTGGCTAGGGCTAAACCATGACATGCTGCCTCTCTGCTGGGAAAAGTTTATTTCTGCTAAATTTCATGTATGTTCATGGTGTTTGTGCCACTCATAATTTATCCATAAAATAAGAATTTTGCACAAGGAGAATATTGCCAGTCAGAAACCAAAAGTTTGTCCCCATCTTTATTCATCTTATTTTGCTTCTTCAGTTTAACATTATTACTGGTTAATAGGTGCACCTGAAAATCAAGCTGTATTGTAGTATCTGGTGCGTTATGTTAAATGAATCTTTTCTAGGACAGCAAGTCTCTTTTTTTTCCTAATGAAAGAGAATACCTCATCTTTTCCAATTTTCCTATCAAACACATCCACATCATCTTGAGACACTGCCACATCCAGCTGCATCTATACTCAACTTCAATTATATGAAATTACACAACCTACTCTCAGGTCCTTTAGGTTCTCTTTTGCTGTGTGAGGCACACGCATAGTGCATTTCCTGTGAAGTGCATGATTACAAACTATTCAGTACAAGCCTGTTTTAAGTAAACAGTAAATTAAATATTGTCAGTGCTTGTTCAGACACGCTCTTATGAAAGAAAAATATCTTCTAGATTTGGGTTCATAAAACTCTAGATTTAAGAAAATGACAGAGATAAACTAGGGATTTTTTTTCCTTTTTAACTTCTTTTGACTGGCCCAGTTGTTCAAGAGCTGGTACAAAACAGTGTATTCAGATGTCCCTACAAGGAGAATAGTCAAAATGCTAAAGGTAGCAAAATTTCTGTTTATTGTTCTTTATTTGAATGGAAAATTCTCAAAAACATTCTGTCACTGTCAGGTACAATGCTACCTGAAAGACTGTTAGGACTCTGTCTGAGCAAAGTGCCTTTTACAGCCATGAAAAACTACAGTAGAAGTACCTTTTTTATAACTCTTCTGGCAATATTATTTTTTTGCTATGCCAATCAACCTGACTGCAAGGGTTAGGAAAGAAAGAAAATTGTTGCTTCCTTAAGAATTGAGGGCTTTTGAGTATTCTGTGGTACCTATTACTCCATTTCCAGCATGGTCACTACCATTTGAAGAAGTATCGTTTTATAAAAACTAGAAGCTATGAATGTGCACTTGCAGTCTCCTTTCATCTCTGCCAGTTAACTTATTCCCAAGAGAAGGAAAAGCTCTTTTTTCCAAGTGGTCAAATATTTTTTCCATTTATTCTCATAGATATTTCAAAGAGAAAATGTGTTGCCTGTATACATTTAGGTCTGCACACAATTTATAATTAAATACAGCAAGTATCCTTTTCTCTATTGTAATTTGTTTCTTTTTCTTACACGCAAGTATAGTAAGAAGGTCTGGAAAATGATTAAAAAATTTATCCAAGTTATCATTGGTGTATTAAATGGCATAACAAAAAGTAGATCATGTTTCCAGTTCCTTTATTACTAGATCATAATGCAATTTCTAAAAATAAAATAATAATATAAAAAGAAATAAAATTTTTTATTGACTGTTAAAACAGAGATCCTTTGCAGACTACTAAAAATATCAGGAAAAAAAATGTTGAAAAACAGTTGCTTTACAAATTAAGAATGCAGAGATCTAAAGCAGACTGATTTTTTCTTTGAAAATGGATATGAGAGTTAACTCAGGAACACAATATTAATAGATTTGTATAAGTGCACATAAGGCCAATATATTCAATGCTGTAATTTTTTTTATGGTTTCATAAATAGTGCTATCACCAACATTTCAAAGAACTCTGAAAAAAACAGAGCTCATATGTGGTGGCATAAATTTAGTGTATTTTATAGAACACTGTTACTCCAGATATAGCCTACGGGTTGTGACTTTTCATAAAACCTAATGAATGTCTAGATTTGTCAGCTGTTTCAACACAGATGCACTTTGCTGATCTAATGGAAACATTTTGAGCCCAGATCCAAAATATCAATAGCTTTTAGTATCACAAATTAGTTTGACTATTGGGTGAATTGGGATGTGGTTCTTGATAAAAACCAGCAAGTAATTTTGCATGTGTGTTTTATGATAACTGCCTCTCCAGTGTCTGATGCTGAGATTCTTTTCCCTCTCTCTTTTTTCTTTTCTTTTCTTTTCTTTTTGCAGAGTTTTAAGTTGAATGTAGATAGCCACTGTGCTTTAAAAGAAGCAGTGGTAGAGGAAGGACGTCAACTTCTTGAGCTTATTGTATCTCACAAATCAGGTAAATCCTTCTGAAATATTGCAAGTCTTTATGTCTCCAGACTATTAAAGAATGAAGAAGCATTGCTGTAAATTACTGCATATATTCACTTCCTTATGTATTATTAATATTTACATTATCAGATTGACCTTCAAGATTTATAAATGTTTCATATACTGCATACAATGCAGTGATACTTATAAAATGAAATACTGCCTGCAAATAGTCTGTTCATTTTATTTTGGTCTTGCTGTTCGACTGAGTTTCAATTGAAATCACATCACTGAAAACTTCACACTGACATATTCTTTGATGTAGGTGCTATGGAAATAACATTAAGATAATGAACTAGGATTTCAAAAATATATATGTATGTATTTACATACTCTGCATGAGTAATTGCATTGCTAAAGCTTTATTTTACCACTTAAACTAATTCTTGCCTTGATTTAAATATATTTATGAGAACTAGATTAAAATTAAAAATACCTTTTTCCTTTGGTTAGGCTTGTCTTTTTCTTCAGAGGCCTTAAATTGAGAGAAGGGAGAGAGGTATACTGATTTCCCTTTATCCCTACCACCTCCTATATTTTTAGATGTTTGCGTGACTTGTCTGCTAATAGGGTTTTAATCAGCATATACTGCTATGGAATGCCATCTTAATTTTGGCCTACTTAACATGCTTTTCATCCAGGTTGAAGTTATTCTTTGCTATACTGTTTTCTCATCATGTTATATTCGTGCCTCTATTGTTTCACAGCATCAGACATATCAGTGTAACGTGAAAGCTGTAGGAAATCACTGGCTTGTATGTATAGTTCCAAAAAGATAGAGAAGCCATAGCTAAGGAGGGTAGCGCATGCAATCATAGATGTAGAAAACAGTAACGTGTAAATTACAGGAAATATTTAAAGGAGTTGGAGGTAAGGAGAATGTCTTTGGAAGATTTTGAAATGTTTTAAGACAAAGACTGGATATTAGAGGGAGAGATTACCAGTGTTCCCTACTGCAGAGAAATGATATTTTATGTGGAATTTTTCTCTTGAAATTGTCAGCTGAAACTCAATCAAAATGTAACACGATGGCTGAAAGAAGTGCTTGTTTCTATAGCATTGTTTCGCAGGATGAACAATAATAAAGCTTGGATTTATTGATGAGAAAACACATTAAAACTCTTATTGCATTTATTATTTTAAATATCCTGCTAATTATTTGAATAAAAGATAATATTTAAAGATGCTGTTGAGTTTACAGCTTTTATTTTTCCCCCTTCATTTTGGAGAAGGACTGAAGGACATGCTGCAGATGATTGCAAGTCAATGGAAGGAACTACAGAGGCAAATCAAACGGCAACACAGCTGGATTCTTAGGGCTCTGGATATCATCAAAGCAGAGATACTGGCTACTGATGTGTCTGCAGAGAATGAGGAAGGGACTGGGAGCCCTAAGGTAAGTGGCTTGAAGTTTGCCTTATTTCCTCTTATTTCCGTCTTCTTTTGAACTAGGCACCACTGAAGTTTTCTTTCCACCCTAAGGCTTTTCATTTCTACTGGGTAAACTTTTTTTTTATAAACAAAATGAAATGCCTTGCTCTGAAACAATAAAAAAATCTTAGAACTTTCAAGTTTTCCAGCAAGACCTGTCTTATTGTACGTAGAGGGGCATGAGGGGGAACATAAAACATTTAGTAAACAAAACATAAAGCATCTTTAACATGAATAATCAGAATGCTTTTAAATTGTTTTGTTGCAACTATAAATCACTATAATCAGTGCAATCACTCAGCTCTGACATCCATTAGCCGCTTGGTTACAGCAAATTAACAAAGAAGAGAGAAAGTGATTCATTATCTCATTCCTGTTAATGACTATCAGATGCATTGCTTAATTAGGGGATGGCCATTGTAGTAGGAAGAAGGTCATATGCCTTTCCACAAATCTTTTTGCTCCAAGTTTAAGTTGTCCATAACGGTGTAGAATACAGCAAGTACTTTAAGAGTAAGTTATTGATACCTGTCATAATTTTGTATTTGTAACAGCATTTTAAATACAGACCATGCGTATTCAAATTGGTGCAAGCAGTGTAGGGATACTACACACAATGGAAACTTCTGGCTTAGGGTCCTTGACCTTTCATCAACATCAACCATAACCAGAGTTGTTTCTTAAGTGAAGAATATGCAGGAGAATTTTTAATAGCTCAATATCTTTGCACACATCTGGCTGCAGTGTATGGAAAAATTCATGGTTTCTGTTTCTGGAAACAGCAGAGATGGCTCTGCTGAGCGGATTTTCTGGTTCTGATGCTAGACAATTCTCAGCATTGGTATTCAGTGCTTCCAAGAGAGTACTTTGTAGAGTGACTCTTGGGTATGATTACATGAAAAATTCTGGTAGTTTCTTACTATAATCCTGCATAGCAAGAATGGTCTTAGGGATGGAGCAAGAGTCAAGGAGAAAATGAAACAAACATACAGGAACACATGTATATGCAGGAGACAGAATTTGAACTGATATTCCTCATCACTTACCTGATAAAAGTGCTCCTGGGCCATACAGCTCCTCCTATAGGGAGTAGGTGGTGCAGTATCACTTGATTTCATAATGGGATTTGTTAAACTAAACAGACTAGCTCAAAGCTAAGTTCTTAGCCTGCCTGTAATATGATCCCATATATCTGAATATTTTGACTCATCTGTGGCCAAATGTCTAACTGCTTAATCAAAATTATAATGTAACAAGTATTCTAAAATCCAGATGGAATTTGTGATGAAAATTGTGGAATCCCTGACTTGGAATGATTATATCCAAATATCTGCTTGAAAAGGGAGAAATGGATGCAGGGTTTATATTGCAGTAAATTTCTCATATAGATAAGTGATAGCTCCTTTGCCCTGTGCTTTTTATCATAGATAAAAGAAACTGAAGCAATGCTTTTCTTGTTTGTTTGGGGCTTTTTTTTTGTTTGTTTGATTGTGATTTTTTGTGTCTACAGGTAAATTTTAAAAACATAGGCCAGAAAAAAGATCAAACTAAAAATATTTGCAGGTTATTTCAGTGATTCTTGTAAGTACATGCAGTAGAGCAGTCAAATTCCATCTACTTCTTCACAATAAAAGATTAACTAAAAAAAAACAACATCTAATAATATAGCTGTACATTTCAGTTTGTATTTGTTTCAAAAACCAAAAAGAACCTGAGAAGTGCAATAGAAACTGAAAGATTATACCTAGAGGGTATTTTTATTTTTGACTTTTTTGAGAAACTATAGGAACAGCGTTGGTCTTAGAAATCTGTAAAGAAATAGGAAAAGGAGGAATTTCAAAGACCCTAGGAAACTTTTCCCTTAGGACTTTTTAAAACATGTTTTCATAGCACTGTGGCATCTTTAATGAGAACAGTGAAGAGTGGCGGAGGGGGAAAGGCATGTTCTGAACTCTAGAAATATATTGTCAACATTTGTAGTCAAGATTTCAGATTTGCTTAGGAAATTTTTGATTTTATTGTATGTAAGTTTCATAGTGGCTTGTAGTGATTGCCATAGAAAATTTAGAACTGATTTAAAACATTTCTGATACCTAAGGTTTTCTAATACATTGCTGTAAAATCTTAGGAAAACAGTAAGTTCTCTAAGTACTTGCTAAAACTATTATTCTATCATTTTTTATAAATTAAGAATTATTGACTGTATTCAGTTTAAGTTGAAGGATGTAAAGTTTTGCCTTCCTACTCCATTGAGACATGCCTTTAAAAATGACACATTCCAACAAGTACTAACCTAACAGTATGAGTAGTACATGAGACATACAATTCACCTGAATGTCATTCTGAATCTGAGACACTTAGCTACCTGGAAAATAGGAGGAATGGTTTCATATATATGTGTATTTTTCATTTTTTCTACTTCTGAAGGTGTCTGAGGCCACTTATTTTTAAAATGATCTCTTAAATCAGATCACTTCTTCATCAATAAAGGACTACTGGATCAGTATTGCTTTAAATAAACAGTAAAGACTGGTATTCAGAAACAACATGATTTTCTTTCTTATCTAGTAGCTGTGAGTGTAAATACCCGAATATTACCCTGACCTATTTAACTCATAGTTTAGTGGGAAAGTTCATTGCTTTCTGAAGAACCTGCAAATTGTCTTGTAACTGATGTCCTTTAAAAGCATGCAAGTCTTAATAGCATTTTCCTATTGTGCACATTTTCCTTCACTCAACACTGTATGGAATAATATTCTTAGTGTCAGTTGCAAGTTATGTTCCCAGCATGCATTTGTACAGTTAGTTCATTACTATGATTTTTCAGATCTGGATATTTTTGTTTGCAAGTACATGTTTGAATTAAGTTTTGTGGGTTGTTTTGGTAACAGTTCAGAATATAACATCAGAACTTAAAGGCTGGTAGTCAAAAGAATAATGGTATATTCTGCAAATGTATGTATATATATATATACAGTTTGTTCTTCTGGTTATTTATTTCCAGAATAATTGCATTATTACTAGAAAACATTTCTTATTTCCCATTCCAGCTTCAGAAAACTAAGCATGTAAGATAATGGACTTAATGCATAGAACACTGAAATCTGACTTAATTGTTCTAGGTGAAAAACAGTCTTGGGAAGAATGTGTTAACTGTAAAATGGACTTGTCAGTGGGTTAATGATAGAAACAGTCAGGATTTGAAGAGTATTGGAGGAAAAGGTAAAAAACCACATTTAACAAGGTAAACTGAAAGTCACAGAAATAGTAGGAAATAGGAACAGAATTTGAAGTGGTTAAACAAACCTTTGTATAAAGGGAAAAAGAAAACCAGTGTAATTTCCTCTTGATATGTAATTAAACATCACACACTTCCAGGGTCATTTCCCACTCAGTTGCATATAATTTTACAGCTTTTATGATCATTCTAAACAAACATTCTTCAGTACACAGAAAAGAGATTTTCATTTAAAAATTGAAAACTTGGTAAAACTGTTTGATATCAATCACTATTTGGGATTCTGGGAATGCTGCTTTACAGACAGTAATTTTATATATACAGTTTTTTATAGTGACACTGGTCTCAAACCTAGTGGGTGGACTAAACACCACAGCTCAGAACAATTATATCCTGCTCAGTCTTTTCATACAAAGATGAATTTGTGGAATGGGCAACAAGACAAAGCAAAGTTTAGAGAATGGTAAAAGTCTTTTGTTTTTTGCTTCAGACTAGTAACTTGTCCTGGCCATCCAATCAGGCTGCTATGACTAGTGCATTTAGATTATTACTTTGATGTAAAAGGAATATATAAATGAAGTGTTTTGGCATCTTTGTGATTAGTGCAGAAAAATATCATACTTGTGAGTAGATTATTTTCTTCTCCTCAGTGTCTTTTTTTCAACTGTATTTCCTGAGTGTGTTGCATGGCCTGTAATAGTAAAAGAAACACAGCACTATTTTTTTTCTGATGTCTTTCATCGTGATGTTTGAAAACGTTTTAAAACATTTTTTTACTGAGACAGATTTAAATATTATCAACAGATAACAGAGACCTTGATTTCAGAATCTAGTAATTTTACTTACATAACCATTTTGAATACTGTATTTCTGGTATCCGATATATGCAATTGGATTGTATGCATGTATTATTGTAGTGGGTAGTACTTTGAAGTTGTCAAATGGCATATGTAACTGGCCTTCATTCTCTTCTCCTTCACTTTCTTCTAGTGAAAGGGCAGGAATAACATATGCTAGAAGGATGATTTTACTTAGCTTGCTGGAGTTACTTTAATTGCAACAGAATTTTGAAACTTTACATCTCAAACTGATTTTTTAAATTTAACTTACAGTCTCTCTCTCTCTATTTTCCCACATGCAAAAACTCAGGATCAGACTTTAAATATATAAATTTAATAAATAAATTAATAAATCCTGTGTCTCATGTTCATAATACTGTGGAATAAAATGTCAAATAAATAGCCACTACTTATTCAGTAAAAATTAAAAAAAAATAATGAAATGGAAGTAAGACTTTCATCTCTGATGTACAGACATATGGAAAGGGCTTTTCTTCTGGTGATACACATGCCATTCTAGTCTATCGTTATCTCATGGTTTAATCAAGTTTGGTTTTTTTTTGGAAAAGAAATGTACAAGAAAAGTTGGTATTTGTGCTTTAGAAGAAGTAATTTTTTCCTCTAATGTGTCCATAATGAGCCACATTCCCATCTAAATATGAGAGAGTTTTATCTCATGAGTACAACACCTCATAGATGAGACATTAAACTGAAGTTCTAACCACCTTTACCCAGGCTTACTTCCAGTATCAGTAATTACCATCTGCCACCTTAATTCTTTGCAGTTTCAGTTGCATGTGTTAGTCTCTTCTGTTCAGAACAACTGGATAGTCTTGGGCACAGTTAAATAGTTGTTATCTTTCACTGGTGAAAACAATACTTTATAGT